CCATCTAGTTTACTTTGAAGAAAGGCTTACCCATCTAGTTTACCTTTGAAGAAAGGTCTACCCATCTAGTTTACCTTTGAAGAAAGGTCTACCCATCTAGTTTACCTTTGAAGAAAGGTCTACCCATCTAGTTTACTTTTGACGAAAGTTCTACCTTCCAAAAGATCCCGTGTTTTTTGGTTTCTTTCATTTTAATTCATTACCTTATAATTATTCTAATCACACATTTCGTTTTGAAGTTTTAGGTCTGAATATTTAGAATTAAATGCTTCATTAAAAAAAATACCTATATCATTACAGTATTATTTATTTTACAACCTTTAATGTGTAGAAGAAACATTCCAAATAATATAAATTAAAAATTTAATATTTTAATTAAATACTTTTATTTAATTTTTCTTGTACAATTATTTTAAGTTTGTTGATAAACAGTTTATAAAAAACAATACATGTATAAAATATATTATTAACCTATGGAGAGGAATTTATCTGCTTAAGATTTACCTTATATCAAAAGATTTTTTGCTGAATAATATTTTTGTCATTTTATTGAAAATGAAAAATGTGTAGAAATTATTGAGATAAATAATAAGTTGTAACTATTAAGATTTCATTGATTTGTACAAGATGTTTTAACAACTGTTATATTTTTAGAATTCAACTTGAGCATCTGAACAAACCAGAGGAAGCCGTAAGACTTGTTAAAGACACAAAATCAGTAGAAGGAGCAAAGATGGTTGCTAGGTAAGCATGGTCACTAAGTAAGTAAGTTTGCCAGGTGAACATGGTTACTAGGTAGGCATGGTTACTAATAAAGTAAGGCATGGTCGATAGGTAAGCATGAATGTGAATCATATTTGTTTCAACATCTTTTTGGGAGACTGTTGATGTTATTCAGCTTTTTCATATGAGTTGCTAAAGTATTATTACCCATAAATCATGATCTAACCTTAAAATTACTGACAGATATGAAGCATTTATTGAAAATGCACTGTTTTTAATCTAACTTAATTTTTATGATAAAAAAAAGACTTCATTTCAAGATACATTAGTACAGAAGATGAATTTGAATCTTTTTACCCAGATTCTTGGTTAAAGTCATTTCACTTTGTGGCTGTCATTGTGATTATATTGTTAAATGACAGTATTCTCTAGGATTTAGGCAGTATGTTGACATATTGAATACTATCGTATAGACTGCTTGTACCTTATGTCTGGTTTTGGAAACATTAATACAAGTAATGTGTACTTCTAGGTTGATCATATTTGATGAGAGAAGTAGTTTATGTCTGGTTTTGGAAACATTAATACAAGTAATGTGTACTTCTAGGTTGATCATATTTGACGAGAGAAGTAGTTTATGGATTGGTTTTGGAAACATTAATACAAGTAATGTGTACTTCTAGGTTGATCATATTTGACGAGAGAAGTAGTTTATGGATTGGTTTTGGAAACATTAATACAAGTAATGTGTACTTCTAGGTTGATCATATTTGACGAGAGAAGTAGTTTATGGATTGGTTTTGGAAACATTAATACAAGTAATGTGTACTTCTAGGTTGATTATATTTGACGAGAGAAGTAGTTTATGGATTGGTTTTGGAAACATTAATACAAGTAATGTGTACTTCTAGGTTGATTATATTTGACGAGAGAAGTAGTTTATGGATTGGTTTTGGAAACATTAATACAAGTAATGTGTACTTCTAGGTTGATCATATTTGATGAGAGAAGTAGTTTATAGATTGGTCTTAGTTGCTCAAATACATTTATTGCCAGCATTTTTCTCCCATTTATTCCTCGATTTTTGTCTATTAAACTCCCATGTTGTTATTTATTTCAGCATACAAGCAGTAAAAACTTATCTATTTACTTTTTCTCAGATTCTTCCAACGCCTAAATGATATGACTTCAGCAATTCAGTTTTTGGTGTTATCCAAATGTCATGAAGAAGCATTCCAGCTGGCCCAGTCAAGTGGTAAGATGGATATTTATGCTGATGTGGTTGGAGAAGATGCTTCACAAGAAGATTACCTTAGTATTGCTACATATTATGATCATGAAAAAAACCATCTGATGGCAGGAAAGTTTTTCCACTTGGCAGGACAGTACAGAAAAGTAAGATTTGATGTATTTTAAATCACCTTCACATATATCGCTTATACAGGAAAGTTTTTCCACTTGGCAGGACAGTACAGAAAAGTAAGATTTGATGTATTTTAAATCACCTTCACATATATCGCTTATACAGGAAAGTTTTTCCACTTGGCAGGACAGTACAGAAAAGTGACATTGTATGTATTTTAAATCACTTTCACATATATCGCTTATACAGGAAAGTTTTCCACTTGGCAGGACAGTACAGAAAAGTGACATTGTATATATTTTAAATCACTTTCACATATATATTGCTTATACAGGAAAGTTTTTCCACTTGGCAGGACAGTACAGAAAAGTAAGATTTGATGTATTTTAAATCACTTTCACATATATCGCTTATACAGGGAAGTTTTTCCACTTGGCAGGACAGTACAGAAAAATGACATTGTATGTATTTTGAATCACCTTCACATATATCGCTTGTGTGAAAAAATAAAACCGTTGTACAATTTTCATGAGTATCTAAAGAATGCAAATATTACAGTCTAAAGAAATTCACTTCAAACCTCAAATATCTGTGTCAGAAATATTTCCTTAATCTTTCAATTATGTACATTAAACTCAAGGTTTTGGTTTGGTACATATAAGTAGGCCCGGTGGTTAGGGCGCTCGACTCGAAACCTGCGGGTCGCAGGTTTGAATCCCCGTCACACCAAACATGCTTGCCCTTTCAGCCATGGGGGTGTTATAAAGTGACAGCCAATCCCACTATTCATTAGTAAAAGAATAACCCCAAGAGTTTGCGGTGGGTGGTAATACAGCTTAGTTACTAAACTTGATAAATTATAGTGGAATTCTATGGTATTGATGTAGTAATTTATGATTTTTTTGTTATTTCAAAGTGCATATATATATAAAAAACTTTAAAAAATTATTTCGTTTCAAGTCCTCCATGTGCGAAATTTGATAAGGCTTAGCAACTTATGGCAAGCAGCAACCAAGTACAAAGTTCATAACTAGAAGAGATAATTGTTTTCTGTACTTCTGTATTTACTGTTCTATGATCTAAAAAAATAGCTAAAATCTAAGAAGTTATTTTTAAATAGCAATAATACATATATACATATGTAATATATTATAACCAAAGTTTGACTGTATGTCACAAAATACTGGTCCACTAGAACACGACTAAGAAATGTTTATGTAATTAGATGTACTGATTGTCATACTAATATGGTGTTTTCATAAAACTGTTTTTATAATTATGTATGTATATATATATTTATAGAGAGAGAGGGAAGGAGTGTTACTTTATATATCAAATGTCAGTGTGGTTTGTGGTAAACTAAATAATAAAACTTGTTAAATAATGTAGCATTGAATATTACCTAAAGACCTGCATGTTATGTAAAACAGCTCCAGTTTTATACAATAAATCAACTTTTACTCACTAGGCTGTGAAACATCTTCTTAAAGTGAGTGGCAGTGACAGCAGTCAGGCCATTCAGGTAGCTATTCAAGCTGTTGGAGCAGCAAATGAAGAGCAGCTGACTCGCCAGGTTATCGAGTTCCTAATGGGAGAGACAGACGGAGTTCCTAAAGTAATGTTTGTTATAATTATGTAGTATTTCCTTGATAATGTGTCAGGTTATCGAGTACCTAATGGGAGAGACAGACGGAGTTCCTAAAGTAATGTTTGTTATAATTATGTAGTATTTCCTTGATAATGTGTCAGGTTATCGAGTACCTAATGGGAGAGATAGACGGAGTTCCTAAAGTAATGTTTGTTATAATTATGTAGTATTTCCTTGATAATGTGTCAGGTTATCGAGTACCTAATGGGAGAGACAGACGGAGTTCCTAAAGTAATGTTTGTTATAATTATGTAGTATTTCCTTGATAATGTGTCAGGTTATCGAGTACCTAATGGGAGAGACAGAAGAAGTTCCTAAAGTAATGTTTGTTATAATTATGTAGTATCTCCTTGATATTGTGTGTAG